GGTGCTATTGTGGCGATCTCAGAGTATTCAGCCATAACTTTAATCCAGTTGTCTCGAGCGTACTTTGAAGGCCGCCGTCATTTGCGACCTCCAGCAGTTTTTTTTACTCATTTTACGAGCTCCTGCGTTTTGTTTTGAAGTAATCGGTCACGTGTTGGAGAAGCGTGGCTTGACGTGTGTCAAGCGTGACACAGACGGGTGTAACGGAGAATCCGGTAGTTTTTCCAAAATAAAACATCTTTCGTATTCCGAAATAAATAAAACGGAATTAAGGCAAGTTCTTTCTGTGCGGCCCGGTACCAAATGCCCGGCGGACCGGTACCGGTCCGTGGACCGGCGGTTGGGGACCCCTGATTTACGTTACGTGCACGGATGCGCTATGCTAATTGAAAAGAGTCTTGACAGGACTTCAGCTATAAAGAGTGAAAAGTGTGTTGTACATTTTGATCCCAGGGGCATATTTTCTTATGTCCCCTTTAAGCTAATCAGTGAGAAATTTGATGACAAAAACGAAACACACTTGCCCACAGACAACTGTTATTTTGCTGTTGCATAAATAAAAGGCCCCTGGCTTCTATCTGAAGAAGTACGGATTTGATCAGAAAGTATAGTCGAACATTTGTAAGGTCAGGCGCTGGTTTGGGCAGATGGGGTCAGTCATATTTTGCCGAGTGATCTAAAATGTTCCATTACATTTCCCCGCTTCAATTTAGAACTGATGAAATATTCTTCTTCCCGCTTCGTCCTGGCGTTTCAAGCTTTTGTGGTAATTTCCCAAATCTTAATCAAATAGAACAGAAGCGAAACGATTTAACATTTGTGGCCAACCTCTGGTCACTCGCTCTCCTGCTCTTGTCAGAACGGGAAATACCCAATTTATATTTTTTGTCCTGGTCTAACATTGCTAGGAGGGAACTGCTCATTTGTTCCCTTCGCTTTACAGTTGTCATCAATTTGGCGGCAACCTCACTACTCCTCTCCTGCAGCTCATCACACAACCAAATGTCAGACGTGTAAAACGTTTTTCTGCCTCGCTTTTCTCTCGCCATTTGAGTGTTTCCATGACCTCGCCCCCTCACCCTGTGCTCTTCTTACCGCGCGCAGGCATCGGATGCAAATCTCCACCATGTACGAGCACTGCATCCGAATGAAACACCTGTCGCAGGAATTTGTGCTGATGCAACTCACGCAGGAGGAATACCTCTGCATGAAGGCCCTGCTCCTCTTCAGCATTCGTAAGTTGGGACTTTTCTGACTTTTATTGATTTTTTTTTTCCCCCATTTTCCCCGGAAAATTCACGATGCAGGTTTTTCAAACACTGGATTGAGTTTTAAGTTGAAATATCAGCATTTACCACTAGATGGTAGACATGGCTGAGCTGCACTTACAATATGCCCTATACTGCCTTATACTATCATAATGTTTTGCGAATTTGGAATGACATGCAGGACAAACATAATTTTGGCTTGCCGTTGAGTTTTGTGCCATCCTTAATTGGGATTTTTTTTTCCTGCACGAGAGCTCTTTCGTCCCCTAGTAGCGATGATGTTAAAGTGTGACTACCATCATTAAAGTCGCCCATCTCTGTTCTACGAGTTGGGAAAGACATCTTTCCCCAAGTGTCGTGGGTCTTCTCCACAAATGAGGGACGAATGGAGCCACTGCAGTGATGACTCAGGATAATTTTTTTTGTTTGTTTGACCGGGCAATGTGTTCCCATTCTCATCAATGTTCAAGAGCAGTAATGGGAAGTAATGAAGCATCTGGACTTTATGTATTTATTTTTTCGAATAACAATTTTAATATCTTTGAAAGGAGATATCTGTACTTTCTACTCCTAACTTTGTCCAATTAAGCTTGTTACTTTGTTCAACCTCCGCAGATGAAGAAACAAAATAACTGGAGAGAGGTCAACTGCAGTTGGGATCTGAACTGATGTATTAATTGATTGGTTGATATCTGGGCTACGTAAAGCATAAAAAAATCTGGGTCAACAGCAAAATGGAGCAACATTAACGAGGGAGCGTTAACGATAATGATGCAACGTATTCCCGTCCGTGGGCTAATTTAAGAGAATTGTTTGATGTTGCAACGCTAAGAATGAGTTGTTGCTAACGTGTTGTCATTGTGCCTAAAACGTTAGTCAGTTCACAACATTAGCAAAGCTGTGGGAACATGTTGTTTTGATCACCCCCCCACACCCCCTTCTCACTAATAACACTACGCAAGTTACCAAGAGGGAAACTGTTTTTGTTGTTGTGCCAAGGTATCAAAATGGGGCTTTTAGATGGATCAGTGATCACTAGCGGTAAATACACTTTTGAAAATAAAGTAAAAAAAATAAAAATAAAAATCACGTTTGGCAATTTTTCTTATGCCGCCTTGGTTTTATATGGGTCATGAAGTCATTTTATGAGTCCCATTTTTAAAAAAATGACCGATTTTAAAATGTCGGCATTCACAGTGACAGCAATCGCAAAATCTATTATCTGTATAGAAGTGACATTTGTGTTGGTTTTTATGGAAATGACATCAGAAAAATCCCAATGCGCAATATTCAGAAATGTTGGTAGCATCTTCAGAAAACAAGTTGCAAATCATGAAACTTCCTTTGGGAGACTACAGACAGTCTGGCATGAAAAAACATAATAGGATTTTTTTTCTTACCTTTGGAATGATGACAACTGCCAATAATTAAATGACAATAAAAAAATGTCATTAAAAGAGAAATGCAATGATGTATGCAAATGCCCCATACAATTTGACAGTAAAAATATTTAAAGTACATTTCATAGTGTACTTTTTAACTTCAACTTAAGTAAAGGAGTTCAAGGAATACTTTTATTTTCTCAACACGTCAAGACATGACGTCTACTCTTCCATACATGGATAAATTAGTTGGGATCCTGTTAAAGAATGTGCAATGGCCACTGAAAAAAAGTTTTGTTTGTCTTTTTAGTTCCAGTGGAAGGTCTGAAGAGCCAAAAATACTTTGACGAGCTGCGCCACACCTACATCAACGAACTCAACCGGCTGGTTAATCATCGCATTACAACCAGTTCGCAGAGGTTCTTCCACCTCACGCGACTGATGGACTCCCTCCACATAGTAAGTGAAATACGCTACTTTCCGATGTGCTCTTTGCTGTGTTCGAAACAGAAGGAACAATATCTCCTGTCTGATTTTAGAATAAAAACCCTTTGCATCTTTGAGTGGCCTTCTATTGTGGGCAGTCCAAAACACACTTGTGTCCTATCATGCTGTCCACGGGTGTCAAATCCAGGCCCAAAAACTAAAAACTCTTGTCACAGTTTGGTTCAAGCCACTAGTGCTTCCACTCACCGGTCACAAACTACTTCTTGCTGGTTGAGCAGAAGCACCTGTGCCTAAAGCCCGAGTGGAGCAAACCTCACAAGGGTCGCGGGAAAATCATCATACGAATAAAGTTATGTCACTCAGAGAGCAAACGGTGTGTTAAAATGTGTTTAAGAATTTTGCCCCCTTACTTGTACGTCTCGATTCTGTTGTACTTTAGATGGTGAAGAAGCTGCAGCAATTTACATTTGACCTGTTTGTTCAAGCTCAGTCGATAAACACCAAGGTGAGCTTCCCAGAGATGATTGGAGAAATCATCTCAGTCCATGTGCCAAGGATCCTGGCGGGTCTGGCCAATCCCATCATGTTTCACGAGTAAAATGTGGAATTTTTACATTCTTTTATTTTTTGGAATCAAGTAACATCTTTTGCTGCCAGCAGAATCTTTAACAATGGCTTTGTACTGTTTCTTAATAATTATGAGCTCATATTCATGTTCTCTGATAATTTTATCGCCTCTTTTAAGCCATATTTGACGATTTGCCTTTTTTGGGTGAGGGGAGGGGAGTCGGGGGTGGCTCACATCCACTTCAGCTTGTACGGTTTTGTTTTGGCAGTCCACGCTGAGATGCTACAAAGCAAACGTGCAAACAGTCTACAAATCAAAATCACACTTACCAGCAGGCTGGAAAACATGTTTGACACCCTCCGGGCACTTCATTAGGTACACTTGCACAGTCAAAACCTAGGAAACAAAAGCCAGATCAAAAAATTATATATATCTGAGATTCCAAAGATAATATTGCTTCGTCTTGCTTGTCACTCAGATATGAATTTAATCAGTCCCTGCTGAATTTTGGGCGACATTTGGGGCGATTGATGGGGACTAAATGAGAAATGTGGCTGTACCTTTTCAGAGAGGCAGCCACTTGCAGTGGGGCACGTTGGGGATTAAACATAAAATGTAAATGTGAAGGCATCTTTAATTTTTCTTTGAGTTTCTTGTCATTTTTAGACGCTTGGATAAAACATTAACTTTTTTATGTATTGATATTAAAGTTGGAACCTACAGTATGAAGTGGTCACCTTTATTTAGACTGGCTAAGAGCATCTCAGTAACAAGGCTGCTTTGGGGGAATACATCAACTGTCAACAAATTCACGTTTCATATCACTTGTTTGACTTGAAAAGTAGAAAAATCTTTGTAGCACTTTGCATAATTAACACGATTGTACTCTCTCATCATTAACAACAGCAGTAAACATCAACATCATTCTACAAACATGATTTCTTTGTGTGTGTGTGTGTGTCTGTGTGTGTGAGAGAGCGTGTGCGTGCAAAATATTACTGCTGCTGTCACACTCGGTGCTTTTTTTTTGCAACACGTGCATGTGATGTTCACCGTGGAAGACTGCAGACTGTCAGTGCTTCATATGTGAATTATACGGACCTTGCAAAGAATCGACAACACATGCTCTACAAATACTGTTGCCCAAATGGGAATAGGCAACAATTGGAAATGATAGGCAATTAGTATGGACCCCCCTATGTATGGATCCCCCCCTATGATAAAGTGGTTCTGCAGGTGGTGAGCACAGACCACTTCTCAGTTCCTATTGTTTCTGGCTGATATTTTGGTCACTTTTTGAATACTGGAGGTGCGTTCACTCCAGTGGTGACATAAAACGGAGTCTACAACCGACACAAGTGGTTCAGGTAGTGCAGCTCATCCAGGTTGTCACAGTGCGAGCAGTGGCAAAAGATGTGCGGTATTTATGTGCGGTGTTTGTCAGCATGAGGTGCTACCAGGAGACAGGACAGTACCTCAGGAGATGTGGAGGAAGTCCTATGAGGGCAACAACTCAGCTGCAGGACGGCTACCCCCGCCTTGGTGTGGGGGTGGCATTTCTTTGGAGAACCGCACTCCTCCATGTGCTCGCCAGAGGTGGTCCGATTGCCATTAGGTACCGAGTTGAGATCATCAGACCCCGTGTGAGACCATATGCTGGTGTGGTTGGCCCCGCCTTCCTCTTAATACAAGACAATGCCAGACCTCATGTGGCTGGATTGTGTCAGATGTTCTTGCAAGACGGCGGCATCGATGCAATGGACTGGCCCGCCCGTTCCCCAGACATGAATCCCAACTGCATACATCTGGGTCATCGTGTCTCACTCCATCCACCAACACCAGGTTACACAACATACATATGGACCTAAAAACTCTCAGTGAACAATTCTCTGCAATTGTAGTTCGCAGAGGCTTGATTCATATTAATGTCACAGCTACACAGTACCATAATGAGAATATCAGCGCAGAAGTATAGAAAGTAACATGAGCAAGATGCGTCGAACAAATTGCGCTTTTCCATCAACACAATTGCGTTTACGTGCGTATTGCTCATGCTGACTTGTTACGTCGGCCGTTCTTTCGAACACCGGTGCATGGTGCCAATTCAAATTTTGGAGCATAATGGCACATGGCAGTCGCCCATCATTAGTATACTGTAGTTAAAACAAAATTAACAAACCTAGAAAAACATTTTTGCTAACAAAATGAACTAAAAAAAAAGGCTTGAAAAAAAACCCTGAAAAAATCACTTGTTTTGCCTTTGAACTTTTAGGGTTCATTTTTAATGTATTTTGGTATTGCTGTACATCCGTATAACAGAAGGAAGGTCAGTCGTTTGTTTGAGAACTGTCCAGAAGTTCACTTTATGAGAATACTTAGTAAGCTTTTACTGTGTTGCACATACATACATATATATATTAACTGTTATTAACAAACCAGCTGCTCTTAAAAATGAACTAACTCCAACTGAAGAAAAAAAAAAAAGACAAAACTGTTGTAACTCTGACACAGCATCTAAACTTTGTATTTGTGCCGCAATCTTATTTGGTACTTGGCGAGCAGGCAGGAGACTGCAGCCTTCCAAGATTTCAAATTCCATTCACATGCGCTGAATGGCCATGTGTTGCATCATTGCAGTGTAAAACCGGTGACTTTTAGGTCAATTTTTACCAATTTTTTTTCTCTTAACAACGGTCACTGATATGTAGATAGAGTAAAATTTACCCTTCTACCTTCTAATCTAAAATGATGGATTATATTTCTGACTCACAGAAAATGTTTTTTTTTTTTCTTTTAACACTAAGATTGACATCACTGCTAATGCCAAATACAGAATGAAAACCTTTTTGGCAGTGCCCGTGTAAGCTAAGTTTGAGATTTTTTAAACCGCTTTGCAATGGATCTGTTTTGGCCAGTGAATAAGCCCCATCTGGTGCTGACCACTTCAAAAGATCCAAGACAGCCAAAAATGATGAATAGATATTTCTTTAAACCATCCTATCAAAATACAAACTGCGCTTCTTTGGCTCGTCACCCCTGAGTCAGTCCCCATCATTAATGTTGGTTGCACCTTTTAAAATTTACACTGTAGAACCAAATGCCCAATTCTGATTGTCCATACACTACCTTTCATTTGACACACATTTGATTTGGCTGTGTTTACATTAAATGAGCACATGAAACAACCAGCATCCAAACCATGCACTGACAACAGGATTGTCTTCATTGAAATGATGATGTGAATAGATTGCATTGACATTTTTTTAATCTTAAAAATTTGTCTATACTTCATTCGCTAAATGTGATTGGACTTGTTTGATGTTTTGAAAGGGGGGAAATGGCCCCATGTGTACATTTTGACAGCAGTAGCGTCCTCGTAAAAGCAGGCTTTTTGATCCAAGCTTTTGTATTGCATCTCACTGCATTGTGCGGGTGTACCTAAAGTATTAGTGGCGTGGCAGACTCCATTCAAATTCAAACGAGATACGTCAGAATTGAGATACGGCAGCCTTAGACGAAAAAAAGCAAAACTTTTTGGAATAAAACTTTGCTGTACTCACCAGCACCTTTGGGCTGTGCTGAAAGGCGGTCTCTACCCAATGACGACTTCATTGCCAGATCCATCCTTATTAGAAGAGGCTAGAAATGTTCCAAGGGGACAACAAATACAAAGAAATGACAGCCAGCTCTGAACTGGAACGGATTTGTTTGTCGGGAGAATGACATGACTGAGCCAAGAAAGAATCTGTCCTTTCTATGCCTTGAAAATTAACAAATCAGTCTTCAACACGCTTGTGTGGTGACTTTCAAATCAAGTTCACTGTCGGGAGAATTGCCAACCATTGTGCAGATTTGTTTCTTGTGACTATCCAACTGATCTGCAGATCTACAAAGAAGGGAAAATTGATATTTTTTTCCTTTAAAAAAAAAATCCATATTCAAAGAGCGGGTCACTCGAGTCCCAACCAATGCAAACGAAGAAACGCGTGCCCCTAAATTCTATAAAAATGTTCTCTGAACATTTTAACATGAGTGCTTAATAGGAACAAAAAAAATACAGTTTTAAATTCAGGGTTTTTCCTTCAAGCTAAAGCAGATATTCACAGATATGTATGCAGGGCTTTTAAGCATAGTACCGGTAGTTTTTTCTTTAATGTTTTATTAAAAACACCTGTTGCCTCCAAAAACACTTTTTATGAAACATCTCAGAAAAACCAACAACACAAAGCGCAATGCTTACTTTTTTTCTGCACAACCGCATGTTTTTTGATGAGAGAACATCGACCTATTTGAATCAAGGAAATAGTTAAAAATAAGCGGCACTGCTTTGATGAGTTTTTAATGAGATGGGCGCCTCGTAATTTTCAATGCTGCAAATCAAGAGTTACCAACATGTTGCACGAAGGCCCCCCCGAAGAACCACATGATGAGCAATTTAGAATTTTTACATATTAACCGTGGTCGGAACTAAATACCAAGTTAGCATAGATATAAAATAAGACGTTATCCACACCTCCCATGTCTTCTGGTTTCAAAATGCTTTTATACACGTGGTTCCTGTGTCGTATCGCATAGTTTCTTGAACATGAGCTAACACCCTTGAGCTATTGATCAAGACAGCATGTTGTAGAGGTCCATTGCATTGCTGTACAGTGTATTCACTCCAGTTGAAACTATGAATATCTTTGCTGTGTTTTGCTACAATACGTAGAAAGCCAAAGCGACTGTGGGAGGATATTTGACATACAATTGGAATGTTTTGAAAATGTATATAACTCCTGATGATTTTTCGGTCAACGTTGATCTTTAATGATGTTCATTATGGCCGGTAATGTGCTTTTCAAAGATTAAATGTAAAAAAAAATTGAATAAAAAAGTGGAAAAACGCGCGCGCGCGCACACACACACACACACACACACACACAATTTCATAGTGTAGCCCGCAATGTTTTGTATAGCTGGTATGTGCCCAGTCTACTGCATATGAAAGTGGTTCACTTGTACGCTTACTGTATATATTGATCAGTGTTGCTTTTGGTCTTGTGGTACAGTAATGGCCTTTTGGTTCATTTTCTTGTTCTATCTCACCAATGTAAAAGTGTTTTCCCAGTGTCATGTTTTTTCAATCATGTAACAGCTGCTTCGTCTTTTTAAGGCAATTAAAAATCATTATGATACAATGTGAGTTTATTTGAAATGAATCTCTTCATAACAGAATCAGTTTGCACCTCGCTTTGCGTTTTATGGCAAGTCATCATTTGAGGTAAGTTTCAGGAAGTTGGACAAGTGTGAATTTGCTGGTGTAAACCCTTCACCCAACTTGCGGTTAAGGCTGATGAGTGAGTGTCTTATATAAATGTTTATTTCAGAGAGAACACACCTTTCATACGATGGCAATTGGCTAACCGCGGTATGGATTGAGTCAAGCTGCAGGGTGTACTAATTGGCCTGAATTCAGGCAAGGAATTTCCACCAGCTCCTGATGTGGTTCCCTGGCGGGTGCAAAAAGTAGAGAGGTCTGACTGCCACTCTAGGTTGGAATGCGGTGGGAGGAGTGGATGTGAAAATAAATACAATGCCTGATTACAAATGGGTTTTTATAATCTCTGACCTTTCAGATGGGCTGAGAGTATTAAAAAGTCACAGGAATATGGCTTTAATTGAACTGGAAATCTACAGTTGTGTTTCACAAAATGAGATGGGGATACCACAAGGTAGAGAAGCGGGGCCGCACTGTTTATTCCTTGAGTTAATTTCTGGATATACAACTTTTCCTTTGGGTCTTTGAAAGGTTTTGTATACAAGCACAATGATGATTGATAATGATGTCCTAGAGTTGGCAACAAAAAAAAAGGGAAATAAAAGCATACATACCTGACCTGTCCCAGATCTTATCCAAAACCGCTTGTAGGATAGTGTTGTGGTCAAAGCTTGTTTTGGTTGTGACATACTCCCTTATGCCTAAACAGAACACTTAACATGCATGCACATGTCTGTGTCAGACTTAACGTTTCTGTTTACACAAAAACAAAAGGTGTCGTTCCAAGATACAAGTTCCCCTCCTTGCATCCCTTGTTAAGAGTAATGCCGTCATTTCTATCCCCAGTGAGCGATGTGCTACAGCTCCAGGAAAAAAAACAAAAGTGCAGTGAGAAAAAGAAAGCACCCCCCTCTTTATTTACACATCGTAAAATATTTTTTTCTCTCAATCAAATGGCTTGTTTTGTATCCATTTGTACCCATCAGGTCACCTTGTGAACAACAGTTCCTACGTGTATGGAAAACGTGCGAAGAACAAACGTGTTAAGAGTCAAGCTGTTTACTGTCACAAACAATGCTGGCTGTTATACTACTGTTGGGACAATCTATTTATCGAAAGCGGTCTAGTTTAAAAAAAAAAAAAAAAAAAGTGCTAATCTTAGCGTTGACAATTGTTTTGAATCAAACCATATGCTGCATGCACCAGGAAGGCATTCTACTGTTAACGTCTACTACTGTTGACAGACCAAAAAAAACACTGAGGAAACACTAAATATTCTAATCTCATCATACAACACAGGGGTAACAGGCATTTTCCCCCTTAAACAATACTTTTTTTTCATATTTATTTTCTTCATAAAAACAAAAGAACAACTGCAATTTCCAGGTTGTAGGTAAAGAATAAAACGTGGCAGATAAATATGAAACAATGGAGTTCAATATCACACTGTGTATCAACATTTGCTCCAAAGGCTTTTGGAAGTGCAAGCAAAATCTTTTTTTTTTAAGCAAAAGTTGACCTACAGAGGCAGAAAATACCTTTCACGTCGGAAATGTATTAACACTAATTATGGCCGATGTACGATGTGCAATCAGTGGAAGTGGATAGGTCACTGGAATTGAAATGGAAAATTAAGATTTCCCGTTTGCTTTTACAATTTGGTCAGTCTTGTTGGATATTCGGTTTGAAATTAAGTTCATATTACAATTTTCTAAACAAACGAACAAATTCAAACGAAATAAGTTTTGGATTTATCACAGACGGATGAGACAAAGGTTACGGATGGATAGACTAGAAAAAGTGCCCAAATGTTTTAAGAGCCAATTAGGAGTACCGGTACTGTAAATTCCAACAATGTAACACTGTAGAACAACTCACAGGCGAGAGAGACGTAAACGCCGAAACATTGGAACGATGTTCAGAAACAGGACGATGGCCTTGAACGCACATTCAAATGTCACTTTGCGGCCATGTTGCCTTAAAACAATTCAAACAAGGCACAGGAATTACTCAAGCAGTTGCCGTCCCACTCTTCCCAATGGCCAACGACAGGTCGGCCCGTTGATGGCATCATCACCTCCAGCTTCCAAAATGCTCCGCTCATCTTCAAGTCTGACAGGAGAGGAACACAAGACTTTTTAAGACTGTTACATATTTCACAAGACTATTTCAAAAGCAACAGCGCCGGCGGTACGGACTACGTTTGGCAAAAATTAAAAGATTCCGCTACAAGTCTTACCTCTTTTTTCTCCTGCGTTGCCGCTGCTGATGACTGGGAAGCCGGTAAACTATATAAGAGGAGAGACTTTAAGACACTGCAGACCACTACCACCTGTGGCCTGCACTCCCAAGTACACAAAGAATCCATTGTCCCCGTTGAAATGAGACGAGCAGAAAGTCAGAATGTCTGCTGACACTATAAGATGAACAGTATCACTCTTTTCATTTTACATTTGAAATTAAAATACCCAGTGCAGATTTAACCTGGCGTTGCGGATCTGGATGTTTGTTCCTTTGTACCTGCAAACGCAATTGTTTTTGTGAAAAGTCATCTGATATTACCTGGCCTGGCCTTTTGATTGGCAGTAATGTCTGCACAGTTGCAACGCTATTCACTTGCAATTGGACTGGAATTGCAGTGAACTAGTAGAAGTCGGCGACTTGTGAAAAACTAGTTGCAGAACCCCGCACACTGCACTACTGGTTGTGTTGTGCGGTCTGCAACTGCAATGAATTTATTTTTGTTACTCGTCGATGGTTTCATCTACTTGGGAGTATCGAAACAGACCAGGAAGGGAACATAGCGGGGATTTTTACGTACCTGCTACCGTGTCTTGAGGCATTCTCGAAAAATTTAGCCTTTGAAGCAACGCTGTGGGAGGAACATACAGCAATGTATTAATGGCAAATAATAAATATGTATTGTATACATATAGTCCTCTACTTTAGAGAATGGCCTCTCCCATTATTTCCACAAAACTGAATTAAAACCATGAATCAACTTTTCAACTATTGTTTTGTCTTGGCTATCGGCGGCAACTGCACTCAAATAGATGGATTCTGGTTTATTATTTATTTTGAAGATGTTTCATGATTACAAGTGATTTATAGGTCACAAGGGAAAGGTGACATTTGGATAAAATGTAGAAACGAGTCCAAATCTATTTGTCGTAGGATTTGAAAGTACAGAGCAGTTTAATAATCGGTTGACTAACTCATTTGATTCTGTGATTGTAGTTGCATCTTTACAGGAGGACTAAAGTGGTCCACACGTTTAAAGGACAAAGCAGTCAATTAAGCAGCCACCCGTGAGAGTAACAGAGTCGAAACGGTCAAAGGTAATGGTTCACTGTTTCCATCTGGGCTCCTTCACTCGTCACAGTCCAGCTGTGCAGCGCTGCTGTGCGGACGACTTCATCGCTCCTCTTTTTGAGCGATGAACGACAATGCAATCAGCACTCATGTCGACGGGAGGCTTTTGCCGTGTGGTTCAAACTTCCACGTCACGAAGAGTGCGCCAGGTCACGTATGTGAAGTTTGTGACGTTATGCACTTTTTGATATACCGTGAATGTCTCTTCTCCTCTCGTGTCCTGTCAATACTGCATTTTAATGCAACATTTTAGGACCTCATGTGGATACAGTACGCAGTATAGAAATTGGATGGCTGTTTTTAACACGCTCTCCAGTTTGAATAGCAGCTATTTTTCTCCTACTAAATCAATTATCACTCTCATCATTGTTGGCGATTCGCTCCCCTAATTATTACTCTTGGACAGTTGTGCGCATTGTTCTCCAATGACGGTAAACTGTCAACCCCATCGGTCAAAGCAGATGGCCGCCACACACATAGCTTGCTCTAAAGGAGTTCTCTCTGTCCTCATGAAAAGAGCCTTGAGTTGACTTATTTTGCGAGGCAACATAAAAGTCGAAATGTGCAATCGTAGACGAACATCATGTATCCCACCAGACATCATTTTCACCATGCGCCATATTCCAGACTTTCAGACTGCACTAGAATTACGACTTTTATTCTGTCTTTTTTTATTTTTGTATTTCAAAAAAAAAAAAAAAAAAAAAAAGAAAAAGACTCGTATAGGTTTAATATTTTTCATAACCTATAATCATGATTAGTAGTGAGCCACCGCTGCTTTGCCTGGAGTCGTTGGGATTTTTTTTCCATTGTGGAAACTAATGGAACCGTGAATTTCCACTGTGTTCAAATTAGTTATCTGTCTTTCTGTACTATAAACGTTACTATCAGTTTTCAATAACAAAGTGTGCTCAAATTTCAATACAATGTAATGAATTTGAAATTTTTTTTAAGCGCCCATGATGATACCTTGAATAACACAATTCTAATATTACACACACACACACACACACACACACACACACACACACACACACACCAAATCTTGAATGTAGGGATGGACATAAAGGCAATCAAAATAAAATCACAGATTATGCCCCTCAAATCTGGTTTCAGATTTTAATTTTTTTTTCCCCCCATCCGTTTATATGAGAAGAAGAATAACAACTGTTTGCTTTGCCATTTGGGACTTTTTTTTTTTCTTCGATACCAAAAAAACGCTTTGAAGCGGTCACCGCCCCCGCGGCATCAATTTCCTCTTGGAAAAATATCCCTTTTGTCAAAACGAAATCCTAAATAAATTCACGTCATAAAATGAGCCGTCAAACTAAATGGCTTGGCTGGTCCTGATGTCCCTTGCTCGCTCTCTCACGCTCTCGAGTCGTGCATGAGAGGCAAGGCAACGTCGGCAAAATATTTGCGGCTTGGAAACACATACCTCAGGTCAAACGTTTACAACATGACGATAAATAATCAACATGAATGGGCACCATGTCTTTGGCAAAGTGCATCGTGATTTACTCTGTGATTGCCTTCCACTGGGCTTCT